AATTCAAAAAATATTGAAAAAAATATAAATAGTGAACTCTAAAAATAGTAAATTTTAATAGAATGAAATTTCTAATTCACAAAACTTTCACAAATAGTTAACATTAATGAAATGCAACACCTACTTCACTGTGAACTCTGACACAATGAACTCAAATAGTGAACTAAACATAATGAACAACAGAATGAGATTTCTAGTTCACAAAATTTTCATAAATAGTGAACTTAAATAGAATGAAACTTCTAGTTTATTGAGAACTCAAACAGTGAACTAATATACTGAATAACCAGCATCTTCACCACTGCCACCCACCATCGCCATCCAAAATTCATCTACCAAAATAGTGAAAAACTATTGAACTAAAATGTGTGAAAAGAAGCATAAAAAAGTGAATTTTAATAAAATAAAACTTCTAACTCACAAACAGTGAATTTTAATAGGATAAAACTCTTAGTGCACTATTTAAAATTTTTACAAACAATACTAAAATTTTGAATTGAAAAATATATATATAAAATAGTAAATTCAAAAAATATTGTGAAACAAGAATAGGAATTTCGAAAATAGTTATTTTAATATAATGAAACTCTTAGTTTCAAAAATTTTCACAAATAATGAATTTTAATAGAATGAAATTCCTAATTTACTATTCAAAATTTTTACAAATAGCTACAAAAATATTGAAAAAATAAATAAACAATGAATTTTAATAGAATGACACTCTTAGTTAAAAAGTTTTGCACAAATAATGAACTTTAGTAGATTGAAACTCTTAATTCACTGTACAAATTTTTCACAAACAGTGAAAAAAGAAAATTTGAATTGAAACATATATATATATATATAATAGTGAGCTTAAAATATATTGAAAAAAACATAAATGGTAAACTCTAAAAATAGTGAATTTTAATAAAATGAAACTTAGTTCAAAAATTTTGTGCAAAAAGTGAACTACAAAAATATTGAAAATTTGAATGGAGAAATATATATCTAAAACATTAAACTCAAAAAATATTAAAAAAAACAAAAAAAAATGAACTCCAAAAATAGTTAACTTAATTTAATAAAATGAAACTCTTAGTTAACATAATTTTCACAGACAGTGAATTTTAATATAATGAAACTTCTAATTCATTGTGAACTCAAAAATAGTGAACTAAACATAGTAAACACAAATAAATTGTACTTAATTAATAAAATTTACTAGATTTTAATAACTTAATTAAGACATTTTCATTTGTATTAAGATATATATATATAAAACAGTGAACTCAAAAATGTTAGAAAAATATAAATAGTGAACTCAAGATTGTGAACTAAAAACAGTCTCTCTCTCTCTCTCTCTCTCTCTCTCTCTCTCTCTCAATGAATATGTATTTCGTTATATATAACTAGGGATAATTCATGTCTGAAGGCACGGTGCAACATAAATCAACCAATTAATTTAAAAAAGTGATGAGTAAAGATTTATGAGAATAGTGGCAGAGCCAAATATATGATTTAAGGAGGACACACTTTAAGTATAATAGATAAAAATAGTGTGATATATTTATATTTTTTTATATTAGATTTGATACTTAAAAATTCATTAAACATAAAAAAGGTCTATTTGAAAAAAATTAATAAGATAATATCTATACATTAAGGATCAATAATATAATTTATTTGATACAAATAAAAATAATATTCTATAATTTTTAATCTTTTTATAAATTCTATATTTTACTCATTTTTAGCTATATATTCTATAATTTTTGAACCAAAGGAGATTTCAACAAATCATACCAATATTTTAAGAAATCAATTTTAGTTTATTAATTTTAAGAGATTTGGTATGAACCTTTTGTTTTTGCTTTTTTGTTCTAGTATCCAACTTGTTTGATCCAATGGATTTTATTTTTCATAAATCATTACAGTGAGCTCAAATAATCTAAAAAAATATATAAAACATATATAATTAAAAAAAATATTTGTTTTCAAGGTGCCCCCTGGCCCTCCTCCCTCCGCCACTGCTAGACAAAGAGAGTGAAGAGTGAGAAGAGAAAAATAAAATTCAATATAAATGGTATTGAGAGAGATGTTGGTGGCTGTTAGATAAATTTATTTGAGACCGTCGGATGAGCTTGTTGAACTTGTTTTATATTATAGAATCCTCAAAATATAATAGAATTAACTTAAAAAAAATAATTTATATACATGTAATCAAAATCGAATGTTAATTTATATACATATAATCAAATCAAAATCGAACGTTAATTTATATACATATAATCAAAATCGAGTCAAATTTAATAAAAACTAAAAATCTAATTTATCAAAAAACATATCGCCAAAATATTTTCTATCAAAAAAAGATCTACAAATATTATTTATAAAATATTATTTTTTTAATTAGTACAAGTTAATACAAAATTATTAATTTATAAGAATATATTAGCGTTGAGTTTTCTTAAGAGATAAAAGAAATAGTGTTGAATTTTTGATCCAAGACATGTGTAAGACATGTTAGTTTGAGATAATTAATTAAATAAATAAAATTAAATGAATTATATTCAATATAAATGTGTTAAGCAGCGCCTTTTTTTTTTAATGTTAAATTGATGAATTCTTTTTAATCAAAATATTATTATTGTCCCTTATACAAATTCAAAATGTTACACTACATAGTTGATATTAATGACAAATTTGAACCATTTAATTATTATGTTAGAGAAAATCTTGTAATCCAAGTCAGCCATAATCTTTGACTGGTTGAGAGGGAAAATGTTGAGAAAATGTTAATTTTTTGACCGTTGAATGAATAAATTTAAGACCGTAAGATGTGTTCCAAGANCATAATCTTTGACTGGTTGAGAGGGAAAATGTTGAGAAAATGTTAATTTTTTGACCGTTGAATGAATAAATTTAAGACCGTAAGATGTGTTCCAAGATCAACCGTAATTGTTGATTGGTTGGGAGGGAAAATATTAAGGAAATAATGGTAATTTTTTGACCATTTCGTAAATGAATTTGAGACCATAGAATTGACTCGTAGAAATCACCTTGTTTTTTTTATTATAGATATAGATTTGACTCAAATTTTTTTTAATTATATATAAATCCCATATTTTACTGATTTGGCTATGTATTCCATATTTTTTGAATCAAATGAGACTTCAACAAATCATACCAATACTCTAAATAATCAATTTTAGTTTGCTAATTTTAAGAGATTGGTTTGAACTTTTTGTTTTTGTTTTTTTGTTCTAGTACCCAACTTGTTTGACCTAATTAATTTTGTTTTTCATAAATTATTGCAGTGAGCCCAATTAATCCAAATATATATATAAAACTTATATAACTAAAAAAATATATATATTTTTTCAGGTGACCCAGATCCCTCTTCCTCTGCCACTACTAGAGAGAGAGAGTGAAGAGTAAGAAGAGGAGAATAAAATTTAATATGAATAGTTTTGAAGAGAGATTTTGATGGCCGTTGGATGAATGAATTTTAGACCGTATGATAGGCCTGTTGAAGCGGACCTATTTTATATTATGGATATTATAGATAAATCCACAAAATATGATAAAATTGACTTAAAATAAATGTTAATTTATATACATATAATCAAAATCGAGTTAAATTTAATACAAACTAAAAATTTAATTTATCAAAAAGCATATCAGAAAAATATTTTCTATCAAAAAAAGATTTACAAATATCATTTATAAAATAATTTTTTTAATTAGTACAAGCTATTATAAAATTATTAATTTAAAAGAATATATTAGTGTTGGGTTTCCTTAAGATATAAAAAAAATTAGTCTTGAATTTTTGATTCAAGATATGTATAAGACATGTTAGTTTGAGATAATTAATTAAATAAATAAAATTAAAATTAATTATATTCAATATAAATGTGTTAAACAATGCTCTTGTTTTTGTTTTATCTTAAATTGATGAGTTTTTTTAAATCAAAATGTTATTATTGTATCTTATACAAATTCAAAATGTTACACTACACAGATGATGTTAATGGCAAATTTGACCAATTTAATTATTATGTCGGAGAAAATTATGTGTTCCAAGATCAGTCGTAATCGTTCACTGGTTGAGAGGAAAAATATTAAAAAAAAAATATTAATTTATTTACCGTTGGATGAATGAATTTGCGACCGTAAGATATGTTCAAAATCAGCTATAATTGTTGACTTTTTAAGGGGCAAATATTAAGTAAAAAAATTATAATTTTTTTACCGTTAGATGAATGAATTTGAGATCGTAAGATGTGTTCCAAGATCAGCCGTAATCGTTGACTTTTTGGGAGATAAAATATTATGGAAAAAATTATAGTTTCTTAACCGTTGGATGAATAAATTTGAGACATTAGGATCAACTTGTTGAAGTCGTTCTGTTTTATATTATAGATTATAGAATTGATCTTTAAAAATTATATTTTTTATGATCAACCATAATTTTTTAAAATTATAACATTAATTTGTTTAAATTATAATTTTTTGGTCAATCATATGAGTTTGAATTATAATTTAAACACTTGAAAATTTATAATTTCAAATTTAATACCACCTATGATTTTAATCAAAAACAAAAAGGATAGGGTTATAGTTTTCATTTCGCCTCAAACACGCATTCTTTTATATGAAAAGAAAACCACTTATCTCTCTCACAACAAATTGAAAATCTTAAAAAACTCGTCGGCGTTCTCATTACAAACTTTAAATTCTCTTAACCTTCAGATCTTATTTGTATAATTTGAAAATGGCGAGCTTCGTTCACATGAATTGTAAATTGTATGAAGAGATATATTTTCCCAAGTAGCATAACTATAATTGACAATTGTCGATATTTGATCTTTTTTAATGCACCATCTTATAAATATAACTGAGAGATATGGACAAACAGAAAGAAAGAAAAGTCTTTATTTGTGATAAGTAACTCTGTGTTGAGCTTGAGTAAGGCAAGTCCAGCATCTTTTAGAAATCAAATCCGTGCACACATTCTAGAAGATACCCCCACCACTAACCTCCACCGCCTTCAACCTCAATAATTCAGCTCTTCCACCAACCCCTTCATGCAAATTTCCAACTCCATCGGGATTCGAGAGCGAGAGCAACGGAAGGTAGAAATCTCCGGAAATCGAGCTCTCACTAACTCCCTGTTTGGTTGGAGGAAAAATAGGAAGGATAAAAAATGGAAGAAAGAAAATGGAAGGGAAGGAAAATCTTTTTATCGTTTGGTATGGAGGAAAAATGGGAGGAAATGAAAAATGGAAGGGAAATGCTTTCCCTTGAGCCCNAGAAAATATTATGGAAAAAATTATAGTTTCTTAACTGTTGGATGAATAAATTTGAGACATTAGGATCAACTTGTTGAAGTCGTTCTGTTTTATATTATAGATTATAGAATTGATCTTTAAAAATTATATTTTTTATGATCAACCATAATTTTTTAAAATTATAACATTAATTTGTTTAAATTATAATTTTTTGGTCAATCATATGAGTTTGAATTATAATTTAAACACTTGAAAATTTATAATTTCAAATTTAATACCACCTATGATTTTAATCAAAAACAAAAAGGATAGGGTTATAGTTTTCATTTCGCCTCAAACACGCATTCTTTTATATGAAAAGAAAACCACTTATCTCTCTCACAACAAATTGAAAATCTTAAAAAACTCGTCGGCGTTCTCATTACAAACTTTAAATTCTCTTAACCTTCAGATCTTATTTGTATAATTTGAAAATGGCGAGCTTCGTTCACATGAATTGTAAATTGTATGAAGAGATATATTTTCCCAAGTAGCATAACTATAATTGACAATTGTCGATATTTGATCTTTTTTAATGCACCATCTTATAAATATAACTGAGAGATATGGACAAACAGAAAGAAAGAAAAGTCTTTATTTGTGATAAGTAACTCTGTGTTGAGCTTGAGTAAGGCAAGTCCAGCATCTTTTAGAAATCAAATCCGTGCACACATTCTAGAAGATACCCCCACCACTAACCTCCACCGCCTTCAACCTCAATAATTCAGCTCTTCCACCAACCCCTTCATGCAAATTTCCAACTCCATCGGGATTCGAGAGCGAGAGCAACGGAAGGTAGAAATCTCCGGAAATCGAGCTCTCACTAACTCCCTGTTTGGTTGGAGGAAAAATAGGAAGGATAAAAAATGGAAGAAAGAAAATGGAAGGGAAGGAAAATCTTTTTATCGTTTGGTATGGAGGAAAAATGGGAGGAAATGAAAAATGGAAGGGAAATGCTTTCCCTTGAGCCCACAAAACATTTTCCCCCCAAAAATGGAGCAAAGATGAGCATTTTTTGTGAATTAACTATTTTACTCACCACTTTCTTTAATTATATAATTTTTAGTATTTACCACATAATATAATTAGAACTTAACTTATTAAGTTTGCTTTTGTATATATAATGGAAGATTTAATAATTAAATGTACAAAATGAAAAAAAATACATATACTTTCTAGTTAGATACACCTTAAATAATTAAATGAAGAATTTATTTATAAGTAAATTTTATTTTTGATTTTATTTCAATAAATGATACAATAAAACATGAATTTTGGTTGTAAAATTTGAAATATTTAATATTTCATCTTTGATTTGAGTATTTTTGGTCTAAGTATAATATTTTAAACTTAAAAAAAATTTAAATATTTGATACTTACAGACTTTAGGGGTTTAAATATTATATACTTATAAAAAAAAATCATGCATTTTGGTTTATTTTCTTTAATCTTATTCATGCAATTAGATGTGAGGGTATAATGGTAAGTTTAGTATATATATTTTTCCATTCTCTCCAATACCAAACAAAAGAAAATACATCCCTTCAATTTTCTATCCATCATACTAAACATAATGGGAAAAAATATATTTCTTTTCAACTTTTTATCTTTTTAATTTTTCATTCTTCTTATCAAACGGACCATAAAAGTACTCCCACTCGACTACCTCTGCAAACGGATCGACGCCGGAAACACCGTGTTCCGATCCGACACTGCAGCTGAACTGCCCGATGATCGGTCAAGTCCAAATCGAATCCNATGACGGTCCTGTAAGGCTGAAAGAGGTTCCTGGAACAAAGAAGAACAAATTAGAAGGGCGCNTGCAATTAGATGTGAGGGTATAATGGTAAGTTTAGTATATATATTTTTCCATTCTCTCCAATACCAAACAAAAGAAAATACATCCCTTCAATTTTCTATCCATCATACTAAACATAATGGGAAAAAATATATTTCTTTTCAACTTTTTATCTTTTTAATTTTTCATTCTTCTTATCAAACGGACCATAAAAGTACTCCCACTCGACTACCTCTGCAAACGGATCGACGCCGGAAACACCGTGTTCCGATCCGACACTGCAGCTGAACTGCCCGATGATCGGTCAAGTCCAAATCGAATCCTTGTCTGCCTTCTGTTTATTTTTCTCGCCAGAGACTCGTGGAATGGAACTCCTCCACCGCCTGTGAACTTCAGCAGCTTGAGTGAGTAAACAAGTTCGGTGGTCATTAAAGTTAAAAGAGCGATTCTAGCGGGAGTTTATTTTAAGATTTTGCTTAGGGATGTAATGATATTATTTTAATAAAATTATTAGATTAATTGTGAATTTTAATGTTAAATAAAATTTATAATCAATTCAATAATTGTACATCTTTAAATCCTTAAATAAGATTCCAATAATATTTTTCAAATAAAAAAAATAAGTTAGAGTAGACCAAAAAAAAAAAAAGACATCTGACATGGCAGCAGATTAGCTACAAGGCAGGGAGTTGGTTCTGTCGCATGGATGCCCAGCCGAGCCCCTAACTCGGTGATCGTTTTCTATTTACTCAATCTAACCTAACAGATAATATGATTTTAAATCAATTTTAAAAAGTCTTTCTGGTTGCCAGTCAAATTCCTCATTTAAACCTCAGAAACAATAGCTTTTTTTTAGGTTTCTTTCAATATCTTTCTACGAGCATAATTATATGCATACCTTGGAGGTTAAGTAAATGGCTAAAGTCAAATAAGGTGGCTGGTTAGCATACAAACCATTACTATTGGTTGAAAGTGTCAACGAAGCGAGAGGCATGACTCATTAACGTGGCCGCATGAGCTCCAACCAAAATACTGACCCATTAACGTGGCCAGGTTAGTAGCCAAAAGATTAATTTGTTGTTTTTGAATAAAAGATTAGGGTCCATGGATCTCAAATTCTAACAGCATCACGGCCCCAGCCTCCGAGAAATTAAATTGTCTTTGCATGAATGAACGGTGACCTTGGAGCTTTGGTAATTGTATATTTTCTTCATCCACCATAATCATTGTTCAAATTATTCTTTCTTTCTTTCCTTTTTTTTTTTTTTAAATTTTACCTTCAACACGAAATTTATTTTGCAAGTATGATTTAAATTTGTTAAGTATGATTTAAATTGATAGTTGACTTAAATTCGTTATGATTTAATGATTGAGAGAAGATTTAATGAAAAAAGTTATAATGGATTAACTTTCTTTCTAATCCATTGCTCCAGTATACAATTTGAGTGGATCAATCCGAATTCAACTAGAAAAAATTGGAACAAAGTATAACATGGGATCTTTTTTGTCAATAGATTCAGACGTGATATTTTTTGATTATTAAGAACATATGTTATGTATTTTTTTGTAAGTAGGTCCAGCAGTTTATTTTCTTCTTTTTCTATTTCCCATTTTATCTTCTCGTGTATCATACGTCTCTTTTTCTCTCCCTTTTGGTGCCAAGAAGATCACTTTTCTCTGTGTCTCTCTCTCTTACTATTCATTTAATCTATGCAAACTCTCCTCGCCTTGGCTTTCGATCATTATTCAGTTGGTGTTTTTTGGTTTACGTGTTGTTCTAGGGTTTCCTATAGATCAATCTCATCGACAACTATTTCTGGCAAATTGGAAAAGGAGAAAAAAATGGCAATCAACAACAATAAAGCCGAACCGAAGACAGGTCCTCAAGTCGATCAATGGTACAATCTAACCTAGGTTCTTCCTTCAAAGATTATCACCCTTCCTCCAAGTTCTACACTTACCGTTTTCTCTCTCCTAAAATTATAAATAATTAACTTTTAATACGACACTTACGCTCATATTATTGTCTAATTTTGTAGAATTTTGATAATGATTGTGACTGTTACTGTGATTATGTTGTTGTCTAGTTCACAACCACTATAAGCTTTAACCCTGCCACCTTCTATAGCACCTCAATTTTTAGCCATCACCCCTTACACTCCATCCACACGAGCATTGCTATTATTGTAATCGTGTTACTGTGATAGTGATATTATTATTATGTTGTTATTATTGTTACTATGTCGTGTTACTGTGGTGCTGCTATTGTTTATATCTTTTTGTCACTGTTACTATGTCGTTGTTACTGTTACTAGCTCGTTGTTATTATCAATTTTGTAATATAGTTATTTATGTCATCAAAAGCAAATTAGTCTTTATGCCTTTAATTAATCACCTTATATTTCATAGCCTCTCTCACTCAGTTGAGCCTCGCCCCTCATCCTCATCCACCCTCTCATTGTCATCACCGTAACTCAATCATTCCCTGCCTCTCTAACTGGACTCTTAGTCTCTCAATGTCTTCCCCTTTCTCGACCATAAGAGGAATTGAAAT